TGGGATATTCGGCGGGCTGAGGTACATAGTGCGGCTCCATTGTGTGGCACGGCTCAGTGATGTTGAAGGAGAAATGCCGCTGTGACCAAAAGGAAAATGTCGAGGTAGGTAACAATACTTAATCAGAAAACAACTGAACCGAAAACATGAAAAGTTAGAGAGATGATCGATATAAGACTATGCACACGTTATACGAACGAGAAATCTACGAAATTAAACTGTTTATTCGCGATAACAGTTTTCTCTTTCGTTATTTATTTATTGTTATTTGTATACACTCAATTGGGTGCGCCGCAAGATATGGAATAATGAACGTACACAGAGTGAATAATACAGCTAGATATAACGATAAAAAAAGGAGAAAAAAAACAGACAATACAATAACATTCGCAACAAAAATTAGGAATAATCAAAAGGAAATCTAGGTAAAGCTTATAGGCTGTGTTACGAAGCGAAATCTGAGATATCACCGGGACCTTCCTTGTGTGTATTGTAAGGCTGTTTTCCCCTTCAGGCAGATGAAAGAGTCCCCCGCGAGATCCTGGTCCTTGGTTCTGAACGCAAGGATTTTTGACGAACAGTACTGGGGCTTGCTGACAACTTAACCCGTTACGAACGAATTCGTCCGGGACCCCAGGCGAACAAACCAAGGGGGACCTCAAGCGAGGGGTTCATCACCCCTCCGGCTCATCAAACAACTGGTAACACAGTTCGTGCCCGCGGCAGTTCACCAAAGCAAATTCTTAATTGATCAGCCTACAGCCTCCTATTCCCAAATGTATCAGCAAGAAAAAAATGCTTAAGAACGTAATGCCGAAATACATAGCCTGATCTCAATCATGAAATAGTATAGATGAGGGAGTATTCAGTCACCACCTGAATACAAAGATTGTCCGGCTAACGCAACAGTTTCTTATCATCTTGCAGGTTAGACCAACGGCTTTGTACGAATCTACCACGTGCGCTAAAATACATTGACCAGACGCCCAGCGTTGAGACTGAAACACGAGAAAGAGAGCCAGGTTAAACTAAGTCAGGTATTCTCAAGATTCGCAAGAGGTCGAGCTCACTCAGCCTTCTTTTAAACGATTTACTATTATTTGCTTGAAAAACTTGAGGCGGTAACAGCTTCGAACCATCTTGGCGCAATCGATTGAACACGTAATGACATAATGAATAGTTCTTTGGGTAGATGCGGTCATAGTGAAGATTTAACCCACCCAGCCTTCCAGTGGTAGGTCTGAAGCTCCAGTACTTACTAGCCCTTAGCTTGACCTCCTTCCGAAGAATACGGAAGCAAAACACCAAATCAGATAAAACCCGTCTATACTGCAACGTATGCAAAGCAAAAGCTTTTAGTCGAACCCTGTAGGGAGGGATATCGTACCGACCGGTACAGTTTGTGGACCTAAACCAAAGCAAGCGAGTGAATACATGTTGGACTTTCTCAATCTTCAATATGTCCTTCCTTAAAGAAGGGCTCCATACAGCCGAGCAGTACTCGAGGTGTGGTCGGACATATGCTTTGTAAAGCCGCAGTAGGGTAGTGGGGTCTGAACTTCGGATATTTCTCATTATAACAAATAAGGCAGAATAGGCTTTCTTAATAATGCAATCAATATGCCTGGAGAATTTCAAATCCGAGTCGAAAATGACTCCAAGGTCTTTCTTGGAGTCGCAGGTAGGGAGTGTTATCCCGTTGACTATATAATCAACAGCTGCATCATCTCCAAAGTGCATGACAAAGCATTTTCTTAGGTTCAGTGGTATACCCCAGGAAGTTGACCACTCACACATTCTTTCAACTGACAGGTGAAGCGCTTGATGCATCACATCCTTGTCGTCCTCGTTATATGCGCAATACAGCTTAATGTCATCCGCGTAAATCTGTACTTGGATGTGGGGACATGTTTTCAGAAGTTGAGGCAACTCAACGGTATATATCAGAAATAGTAGAGGGGATAACACTCCACCCTGAGGAACCCCACTGGTGCAGGGGTACCTGCTCGAAAAACTGGTCCCTACCCGAACTGTCATATTCCTTTCCTTTAGGTAACACTTTAACCAGTCTAGGAGCCTACCATGGACACCATAGAGCTCGAGTTTGCGAACAAGTTTCAGATGACAGACCTTGTCAAACGCTTTGGTCAAATCTAGGTGGATTACATCCACCGATTTCCCGTGGTTGATAGATTTACAAATGTCGTACAGCGTGTCGAGAAGGTTTGTACATGTCGAAACCCCAGGAAGAAAACCGTGATGTTCGGCAGGGATGAGGTTGATGCGATTGAACCACGCCAACAATTTAAACGAAAATATTCTTCTTCTCCATCACCTTGACAGGTGTGGAAGTGAGGCTGATGGGCCTGTGGTCGCCAACTGCTCTAGCTTCGGGATGTTTGGGGATAGCCGTGATGATGGATTCCTTCCAAATCTTGGGAACCTGACCTAAAAGGAAAGAGATATTGAACATGTGGGCTAAGGGCTTGCATAGAGAACCACAGCAGTTCTTGAAAATTATTTGCGGGATACCATCGAAAGGTTCACTGAGAGAGGGCTTGAGTCTTTTCAGGATAGTATAGACATCTCTGGGGTGGAAATAAATATCGAGGTCCCCGCTTTGGGAACTAGCTGCGCCGTACTCCAGTAATCCTGTAGAAGAAGCTGGAGGTGAAAAAACACTGGCGAAATATTTACCTAATGCTTGAGCTTTCGAAGATTCGCTGAAAAGTGTGGAACCACACTGGTCCTTCAGTGTGGGAAGGGGTGACTTGGATTTAAACTTGCAGCGAACGTACTGATGCAAACGCTTCGAGGAAGCTTGGTTACCGAGATGGCGCTCAAGATTGGATACGAACTTCTTTAAATGGTGCTCCACATCCCTACAGACTTTCCTGTATAGTGGGCAACTCATGGGATTATCCAGAATACGAAATAAGCGTTCTTTCTGAGCCAACAAATTCCTGATGTGCAATGGATACTTGAAAGGGCGAAGCTGAGGAAACTTCAGTGGAACGAATAAGGCCAAAGCCTCGTAAACGGTCTTGCAGAATCTACGATAAATGTCGTCCATGGAACGTAGTGGTTGAATAGGTCAAGCCAGTCAACCTTCGAAAGATACTCATTTAGGCCGTCATAGTTCACGTTTAGAAAATCAGGAGTAGGGAGGAGTGCAGCGTAACTGAAACCCTCCAGTAACTCGAAGCGAACGGAGGCATGGTCTGAATTGGCAAGAGGAGGACGAAGTGATACGTTTTGTATACTGGGCGAAGTGGACAGTACCAAGTCGAGGGTGTTGCAGCCATGCGTCGGTTGGAGGACGTGTTGTTCGAGACCACTTTCTTGGAAGAAATCCAGAAAGGCAGCTGAGGACGTGTTGCCTGCTCTTAGGTTTTTCCAGTCTACCTGTAAATTGAAATCGCCCACAATTATAGAATCGACCTGAGTGGAAACCATGTCACGGAGAACATCAATCAGACCATCGTCTTCACACCTTGTCGAGTTCGGGGGACGATAAACTACGGTGAACCGGAAACGAGTGGCCTTAGGAGGACAGAAGATTTCCAGGCAGAGTACGTCGGCTTTGATTGGTTGACTTGTTCAACATGGTAAACACAAGGTTCCCCCTAACCAAGCAACATACTCCGCCACCTCGACGCTCCTTTCGATCTTGACGGAATAGTAAGTAAGGCAAATTAAATAATATTTCAGAATTGAGGATGTTGTCCGAAAGCCATGTCTCTGTAAGATCTGGCTCATACTGCGATATGTAAGCACGTAAATGTTCTAACTTATTCGGCAAACTACGAGCATTAAGCAAACAGCAAATAAGGACAGAACCACCATGCGCACTTAGGCGTTTCCCGAGCGTTTTTGCTGCAATTCCGACGTGTGTTTTCAGTTGTCCCTGGTGGACTACCCATTCCCGGATCGCTTTGCCCTTGTTTCGTTCGCGTGCCTCCATTCGCAGCTCGTATTCACGTTTTCGTTCCTCCGGAGTCATACTTTTACGAATAAATACGTTAGGCAGGCCAGCGTTACGGAGAAGGCGCGCGTTCGCAAGAGCACGACGCCAGTGACCTCGAAGGGCAGAAGAACTTGACCAGCGTGACGACCCGCATGTTGGCTTAACCCATGCGGTATATTTCCGAAGGACGGCATTCCACGCTCAGAGCATCGAGCACCTTGCTTACCTTTTCCTCGAGATCCGCTTGACGTTGGGAAGGGCGGAGCGAGCTGTGTGATTCCTCAAGACCTGCAATTACTATGCTGCGGTCACGCTTGTCGCTCTCGAGAAAATCCGTAAACTCCTTAGGTATTTTCTCTGCAAGGGCGATGAGCATGTTCTCAATGGCAGGGTCTCTATTAAGCTCCATAATATTTTTTATGAGTTCCATTGCCGACATATTTTCGAAATTCGCTGACTCAGATAGAATACACTGCGAATTGACAATGCTAGTGGAGGTGGAGCTGGGTTGAGAAAGGGTTTTGAGAACCTTCTTGGCACGTTGTACTTTGGGTGGCATGGTTTTGATCTTTGATCTACCTGATATCGAGTCGATTTACTTAGGTAACGAGGACACCAAGCAAAACACCAAACAAGGAAAAAATGGAGACTAAATTGGGAAAAAGTGCCAGACTTAGGGTAAGGATAAAGCAATTTAGGCGTAAAATGGGAAAAAAATCTATGAATAGTAAAAAAAAAAGGTTAAAACCCAAAAAGAAATAAGGTAAATGCACAGCTCACGTATACACAGCCGCCTACGAGGTCGCAAGGTCGAGGGGTTATACGCGGTTCTATCATATAACGGCATATTTTCACTTGCTTTTTATCTCCATTTACCCTGAAAAAAGCGAGATCGCAAGTAAGTACAATTTCATTCCAATATTGCATTCCTGAAAGCGACCGCAAACCTTATCAGTCTTTTTCCATCTGGAAGACCCTCTTTCGGTTCCCCCCTCGTATAAACTTTGGCTTGGGTCTGGCTATAATAAGTGATTTATTTTATTGTCTTAGCTCCTGGACCCAGCACAAACCCAATAAGGTTGTCCGGCACCTAAATATAAATGAGCCATTATGAAGAATATTACCTAAAGCATAGGCAGCCCAAATATCGTCTTACAAACCTAACCTCAAGATCAATTCCACTGTTCGTTTCACGTTCCACTATTACAGAGGCTGCGTAGTTATCACCCTTTGCTGAGGCTCCTGATTGACTTCGTAATACTTCTAGTAGCAGCGGATTCACAGGGAGAGGCTGGAAAGGTATCTCTTCCAGACCGACTCATTAAAACAAACTTGCGGAGCGAAAAACACTAAAATAAACTCATTTTATTGAGAAAAATTAACTAATACAAGCAGAAAGTGTTCTCGCACAACTCTATATGCAAGTTGACCTATCTCGACTATACAGTTCGAATTCTGGAGAATGCATAGAATATGGTGGATAGCTTTGACTATATTTTCCTTTCTGCCCTTAACTTGGCAAATACGGTCCAGGTTTGCTGAAAACATTTTTGCGGCACTGATGACTATTCGAAGGTAGACCATGTTGGACCATGTTCATACACAGCGCCATTGGGAAAAGCGGTATATCTGCGAGGAGGGATATCCCAAAGAATCGGAGAATCGGAGAGCTGGAATTCTTCTCAGAGCAGGTCTTGCAGTTGAGTTGTCCTCCTCTAGTACGAACTCCTCTTACCTATCCGTCATCCTACCAACCATCATACCATCTTTCTGAATTTTCCTGACTCCCTACCACTCCAATGGCGCTGTGTAACAACTCTATAGAGCTGACTCCGTCGAATAGAGGACTGAATTCGACAATTCCGCGATTCTGCAACGCGGGATGTTAATGGCCCTACGGAACACATTTCTTCACCACTAACAAAACAAGGGCTCACCTTCAGAAGTTCTGTTTATGGAAATATCACACTCAGTGGCAATCTTTCAATTTTGTTAGATCTTGTGCACCTTTCCCCATGATTTTTCCGACGATCATCGAAGGTATCAATAATTTTATCGCCACCAAACCTCTTGCGTTTTGGTGGGCTATCAAATGAACCTTTTTCTTTGGGGTCTAACACTTGGACCTCCGACGATTCGTAATCCTCGATTGACGTGCGGGTCTCCATTATTTCTCCAGCTAACT